TTTCCGCCATTCTGTCATCTTTTTCGGCTTCTGTCAAAACCATATCAGCTAATTGAATCTGATGATCTGTTTTCACTCTTTCGGCAAATTTTAATTACCTCGGGAAGCGTCAGGGGACCGAAATCACGAAACGGTCAAAAGTTTGTGCCTCTGTGTGCTTGTGTGCGTGCATATACACGATCAACAAAGTTAGTGAGAACGCACCAACTAACAGACTGGGGTTGCAGGCGTGGGTTTTGGATCGGTATTATTCACGTCCATCAACCCTGTCGCTGCATACTCCGACCCACAGACCCCTCTTTTCGCAGCGCACCCTTCAGGCATGCGGGACTGTCTGCATTCACTTTTTCACTCCTCTGGGTCATTCATTTGGTAACTAGTTTGTCCAAACTGTTTTAATCAACAACTTTATAAGCATACATGACTTTGAGCAGACACACACACACACACACACGAGAGCAACACAAAATGGCTGAGGTATCTAGTAAACGATTGAGTCTCTCACTTGTTCTGCCGCATTCCTTGCTGAGACGCCACAACTAATGCAGGGTTGGTGGCGATCCCCAAACCATGGAGATGGGGAGGCGGCGTGAACAGAGGGCCAAGTCCGGTAGGCACGAATTAAGTCGATTCCATGGAGTGTCCATAGAATGGCTATTTGGGCATCTACCAAAATCCAGCATTTTGCCAAGTTCGGGAGGGAAAATGGGCGCATGCGGCAATATGCATGCTAGTGAGCGCGACTGTACAAAAGCGGTTTAATGCTAAAACACCTGAGACCCACAAAGGCAGCAGGACCTACTCCAGGTATCGATAGGGGTGTGTCTTGGAGGTGTAAGACATGGCGCAGCAACTAAGCATTTCCATCGGTAGTTTGGTGAAAAGGCTGCAAGATGTATACTTCTAATTTGTTAGCTACTTGCTTTTACTAGCTATAGTGTCTCGGACACAGTTCCGCAATTCTAAACGTTTGGAATAGAAGAAGAAGAAGAAGAAGAAGAAGAAGAAGAAGAAGAAGGCATGTGCGAAACAACCAGAATTTGACGGCATAGGGAGAAATGCGTGAATTCACTTACTGCGCAAACACAGGAGCAAAATACTAGGCAAAACCGGAGTTGGCTTTAGGTCACTTTCAGGCAATCGTGTTTATTAATGCCCATCGGACTGGGCCAGTTCCCTGTTCTCCCACTCTGTTCACGCCGCCTCGACGTCCTCCTGATCACGGCGAACGCCACCAACTCTACATGGGCGTGTAGTTTTCTATTTAACCAACGCCTGTGATGCACCCATCCTTGCAACACGCATTCATATTTCAGCCTTCCGTCAGTTTGTTAAGGCGAGAGCACTCGGTCCATGGATCGCGTAGCCATCCAGCTAAGTTTCATGGCCTAGTAAGCATGCAAATCTGTTGCGGCTTCTGCCAAACGGTTGAACTATTCAAGCTCCAGATCTCCTGGGTCTGTTTGCACCCGCCAAAAAATTAAGCAAGTTATTCTTTGACAAGCATTTGTAATTTTGCACTGGAGGCAAGTATAGTTACGACAACATAAAATGACACCCCATTTTTGACGTATATTGTTTCACGTGTGCCCAGATATATACTCGGAGAGAAGACAGTACTCGAATGCAGACAAGTTGACAAGATAAGTTTGCGGATTCAATTGGAACGACAAACAGATCAGCTGTTATGTCCATTGAGAGCTGCAGGCCAAACGTGTGTTGGTTTGGTTGAAGTACAATTCCACATTATCATTATTAAATGGTCACTTTGCCAAATCCACATTGCATCAGATGAGTCGGGAACACATCGGCTACACGGCTGTCACCCACGCCTTGAACCCAAAAGCCAGCAATAGAAGAGACGCCTCCAGTCACAACTTTTAGCAGCACCACAAAATGTCGATTGTTTTATTAGATTGTGAGATTGCCAGGTCAAAAGCAAAATTCACTCGATTTTGAGCACAACTCTAACTCAAAGGCGCTAACTCCAAAATGCGCTTGTAACGGCTTATTCACCCGTAAGAGACATTCGTTTCTCCTACCTCACTACTTGCCATCCCAAAGTGAGTGTCTAAAACACTTAACCAGCTTGATGTTTTGCACGCATTGCAGCCCAAGCTGAATGTGTGGCGCGCTCCACCAAGTAAACAGGCGTGCTTATCCCTCTGCCTGACCACTCAATAACAACTTCATTGCAGCCAGTGCCTCGACTGACCCAGTTAACTCACTGCCATTCGGTCAAAACTGGAGCACGATTTCAAGGCTGCTCTGACAACCCGTGGTTCTGTGTAGTTCCGTGTTAGCGTTCACGTTGGCGTCCAGTCCACGCAGAACGAGCTTAGTGAATTAGGAAGGGAGTAATTGTGGATGGTTGTGGAGGGTAAAGACCTAGTCCTGTTTATTCAATCGCCAGTAACCGGGATTGACGTGTTTGTCATACACCAAGTACGAGGCTAGTTAAAAGCGATGCTGATTGTGTCGTCGTACCGATGGAACAGCAGGATGTCAATGGGTTGTTGTGGAGCAAGCACTGTGACTTTTTTGATGGAGATCACTGACGTTGCACAGCTTCGTGAACAAATGAGTTGGAGTTGACGATAACTGTAATGTGGTTTTGATTCACTCAAGTGAAACGAAAGTCCAGATGCTCCCGTTGATGAGGAACAATTCGTTGTACAATTTCCTGAGTGCGACTGTTATTCTGACTTAGCAAACCTTTGCAACGTGGCTGCAAGTATTCGACGGTTCCAATTGGGCTTTTAAGAATGCAGAACGACAAGTCAGTCGTCCGCGGTGTGCATATCGATTCTCTCAAACAACAGCAATTCATCACTCCTTATTGTCAGAGAATCGTTTTGTATTTTTTTTAATGTATGAAAGCAGCTTTATTTGGTCAAGTGTTTCTTCATTATGCCGCAACCACTCAATCTCGTTCGTGAAGTGTCTATTTATGCCCTTTCAGCTCGACATGTGTTGCAACAGAAGACTAACAAATAAGACGATGTGTGGGTGTGTGTGTGTGTACAAGACGGCGAATCAGTTTATGTAGCCCTGCTAACCATGTGTCCTCAAACGAACACAGTTACGTGAAGTGCAGTCATGTAAACCAATTGCGTCGTGTTCGCTTACGCTTGCTGTGTTCGCTTGCTGCTCGCCTCACGTTCTACTTCTCAAGTTTTCATGTAAATTACACAAGCACCGTGGAGACGCCGACAATACCAGCAATTTAGATTCGTTTGCTAAACTTACTGCATACCTCTGCAAATTAACATGTGCTTGTGACATGACGTCTTCTGGCTTTATTAGGATTGATATTGATGGCCTTGCCGACTCCAGGCTTGATCATGATGGAGTTGAGCAATTTGATGTGGTGGTCATTGCTTCTCTAATAAACGAGCAGCACCTGAATCACCATGGTCGGTGGGTTCACGTGTCTGTCCATGATTTTCGACATGGTGCAGTGAGCGATTTTGAGGTGAATGCTTCCAACTTCTCCCCATTGAAACGTTCACGGCTAAAGGTCAATTCGAGATGAGAAGCGGCCTTGAAACAGAGGCTGTAGTCCTTCAGCGTTATGAAAGTATCCCGCATAACTTTGTTAACAACTGCACAGTTGATTTAACGTAAATTTGCCTGATCAAACCGGCATTTATCTGAGCAATGCCACCTTGGAGCTTAGAAGACTAGGAATTCGTTGTGACACAACTCATGGGACCAAAGTGGTGCAAAATGAACCAAAGTTTCTCAGAGTCTCATGTCTGCGGTTACTAACCCGGAGACAAAGGAATTAGTCACAGACACCTGCTGGACCAATTCGAAAGGTGCTTTGGCATGGCTCAAGTGTCCATTCATCATGCTTGCATCTCGATGTGAAAACAAATTTGGAGCATTGTGAAACACTGACATCGCAACACAATCAGGTGAGGCGTTAATTAAGCAATCCTTTCTTCAGATATTCGCTTATTCAATGCTCTGATATCCCAATGTCTGCCAAATTTGCTTTCTGTGTGTCTTCAACTTCACCAAAGCATCTTGGAGATTCTTTAAAACCATGATTTTGCAATGGCTTCAGTTCCTGCACGCTCCTGCACGACAAGCATACTTAGCCACCTTATAAGATTTATTTTGTAAGATAGACGCATTTGCATTCAAGGATACCTCATCGGCACTTTCAACATGGGTGTAAAAGCATCCTGTGTGTGAACAAGGCCCTTGACGAGTCACTATGGGGTCGAAAACAATAATCACCCAGTTAATTTCCGCTTTAATATTATAAATAAGTAACGGTGGCAACGCGACAATAATGTTGCCGGTTAATTTTATGAGATTTGTTTGGGGTGCGCTGTGGTCTGACTGGGCATATGGATAATTTAACTCACGACCGGTGTGCTAATGATAGGTCGCAGAAGCTACAAGGTGAAATCTGCAAGAACTTAGACGACGAAACCGAAGACCCAATTCCTCGAAGTTGATTTAGACGAACACCTTTTGTACGGCACTGGTCGACAACATCGGGCCAGTCTTCAGCGGTGGATCTTAGAACGAGATTGTCATAGTCTGTGTGGCGAACGTGATATCTAACGCACCTTTTGTCGAAAACAATGTCGTTCGACATCTCATCTGCATTACACGACCCCGGCAGCTAACTCAATAAAAGACTCGTCTACGAAAGAATGCAGCCAGAAAGTAATGAAAAACCCTATCGATCGCCTGCTCCAAGACAGGACTATCCGCCAATAACGAAGGTTGACTGCGAACTCCTAACGACAGTTGTTCAGAGTGCCCACCAATAGATGCTGCGAAGAAAAAAACCACGAGATGGCGGATGTAAGTTATATTTAGTGGAGATGTACGCAAGTAATACCGGTTTTAAAAAACGAGTTCTCGAAAACATGATCGAACATTGATGCGCACTCGTCAGGCGTAAGCAAATGCAACCATCAGCCTGAAAAGAAGAGATTGTCTTAGGTACAAGAGAACTCATGACAACAGTAGTGCAGTTAGCACTCACGTCGATAGCCGCTGGAAGGGGGCCCACGCCTAGAATACCCGCGATCATAGTAAGATCGGTCGTCATACATGCCATATGGTGGAGGAGGCGGAGGGCCGCCAACATAAGGCCCATCGTAACCGTAAGGAGGAGGAGGGGGCATATAACGATCATACATGGCCATCGGTTCCGGTTCAAAGTTATTTGCGTCGTAGTCATTTCGGTAGCCACGAGGAGGCGCCGACTAAGTTAGGATAAGCAAACCGCAGTGCAGTGTCTTACCTCAAGAGTTTCCATAATATTTTCAACACAGGCGTAAACATTGTCAGGCTCGCCAATCAGTTGCAGAACACGATCAGTAGAACGTGGAGCAAACTCCTGGTATATCTTAATTATTTGCATGTGATGCTTCTCGCGAAGCTCTTTTATTTTATCACCACTCTTGCCAATCACCGAGCCAACTTGGCTATGGTGAATCAAAATACGCAGATCAACCAACTTCTCAGGATCGAGATCATTGCCATCATCATCTTTCCGGCCTTCCAACAACCGTGGATCGGCATTCTTTGCCGTCAAAACGTCCTGAGAAACCGTAAATAGAAACTACCGACTATTACCATAAAGACTTCAGTGAGCTCCTTAAGACAACCACAGATATTTTGCCTATCTCCCTCCATATTGAAAACGCTAAAATAAAAAAACACAGCCTGATAGTCTTTAAAAATCACTCAAAGAAGCCAATAAGGCATGAAAGAGGCTTAGTCAGGCATACTGTACCGTTCTGGGCCTTTGCTATCTGGAATATGGAGACGGACAGAGTACTGCAGTGAGGATATGTGTGAACACAACATAGATTTGGTTAGCAAGTGGATACCATAAGTGATACCAACAGAACACGAGTGGCATAGTCAGTTTCAGTGAACAAATACGCGCAACATGAGACGAAGGAGAGCCGTGGGTTCGATCGACATGAGTGGAACATCATCAACGGTGACAGTTGGAAACGTTCGATAATTGGTGACAGGTGGATTCACGATCATAAAATGGACAAAAATAAATATCTATTTAGATCGGAGCAAGCCGTGACGCAACAAGGAGAAAAAGACTGAAATGACAAATCACAGTACCTGGGCACGTAAATTTTTAATAGTTTCGCCACCCTTCCCTATAATAGGACCCGCTGCACGACTTGGAATAAGGACCCGAAGAAGCTTGCTTGGGTCGTCACTCCGACGGAATTTAGGAGCAGGACCTTCATCGGGAAAGCCATTATCGCGCTTCATCTTGGAAACTGTACCGGAAAAAAACTGAAACCCGATTCAAGTCAGATAAACAAAGAAGAAAATGCAACGGATACAAAACCCTTAAATTAAATTACAAACTGCCAAAAATAACTTTTTACCAATTTTTTTAATTTAGTACTAAAAAGTTTGCACTTGTCCCTTAAAACTGTTGGGTGGAAAGTTGTAACACCCCACGACAGATTCGATGTACAATTTTCGCTACATGGAAGCAGACCGTACATGACAAAGCAACACATAAACACTGACAATAAAACTAATGCGTTGAAAAATAAACGTGCTGTTTCTTTACTGTAATTTTCTTGCACTTGCGTCTTTAAATAATCTTATCTACTCCTAAAATACTTATTAACATGCACAGTTGATCCAATCTATATTATATTTAACTTCGACTAAATAATAAAAAATATGAAACAATCTATAAAAAAACTGAATTTAGATATGGCATAACTGTGTATTGTGTGAATTGCATCCAGATAATCGAGGTAACATAGACCACATAATCACAGTAAATATCGGTTCTGATGTTCTGCGTGTTCGATTGCTTGTTATATTACTTCATTTTGGAGATTAGTAATACCTTTAGTTAATTTATTTTAATTTCTAACCAATTGTGCATGAATATAGTAATTAACTTCAAAGAGCAATTTTTGACTGTAAACTTTGGTGTCACCTTAAAGAAAAATAGGGGTACATTACTGATTACGGAAATACTTCAGGCCTAGTTCTCAATCACCCTTCCTTACCCACTCAAATCATGTTTATATGGCCATAGAACTCCTTTTGCATCACAGAAGTTCAAAAGTACACCTACAGTTCAATTTTTCAAAGCTGCATTAAAGTATTTTAACACCCACTATTTTGTTCTGACAATTTCTGGCAAACTGTATGGAAATTTTAGTTAACCAAAATATGTGCATAAATGTTTAAGCGCACAATAATTTGTCTGCTTCTGCTCATGATCGCAGCCATATCAAGTTACTCAAATTTATCTATTTGCCACTATGACCTCTATGGATTCCAAACTCAAAATGTTTTGCACTGATGAATAAACAATTTAAAATAGGTGCCATCTGCTGGAATTTTTTGATTTTGAATATGAAGTTTTCAACAAATGAGTATGTGATCTGATTAAATATTTATGTTTAGTTAGAACGATTCTCTTGTCTTGTAATAACTAACAAGGGCGCTAAATTAATATATTCTAAAGGAGTCAACTTAGAGTTGTCATTTAGAAAAAGTTATAGAAGTGTTCAAAAGACAGATTACTGGATATATATTAATTGTCAGGTTACTCGAAATATTTACAAAAAAAGAATAATCTCGAAAGCGGTAAATTTAGCTTCAATTTTTAGCATTGATGTCTCCTGAAATCAATTAACAAATGTAGTTAAAGCTTGTTTATTATTTTAACAAAACGTTGTTTAAACATTTTTCCACATGGTTGTTTTGCAGCTGGCTACGTTAACATGTTGCATTGAAAAACCACATTTATTCTGGTACATTATTTGCAAAAAAAAAACAAAATTTACATAACAAATTATTGCTCTAGTGTGCTCATCATTATATTACAAAAGAAGGCTATGACATTTAAGATCTGTACCGATCTAACGATTGTTGAATTTGTTGCGTAATCAAATTATAATTACATATACAATATTAATGTATTAGCTTCAAAATGGAACGAAGATGTTGAGAAATATTCATAGCTAGGCTCCAATATACGATGACCACTATCAAGGGCCACTGTAGAACTCATTATTGTGGGCTGTCTTTAGACTGTTTCCACATTATTTGTCAACTTTGTAGTTGTTTATGGATTTTGGTTGTATTCAAAAGTAAGGTGGTTGTATTTTTGTGGTATTTTTTAGGCAAATGCTGTAAGTGGAATGTGTTTACTGCATATTTAGTGTACGTTTTGATGTTAAGTAATTTAAAAAGCTTTGTGCTCTAACTTTTACTTGCACGTTTTATTGTTTAAATTTGTTTTTGCATTAACCTAACCTCATTAGATCCTCCTGTTTGCAATGAATTAGTAACTTATGCGATCAAGCTTGGCCTTCTGCAGTTTTTAAGTGATTTTTAATAGCAAAAAAAGGTAAGAAGACCGAAATAACTGGAAAAAAACTTTGAACAATTCGGTGTTTGTGAATTTTGTTCTATTTTGCACTGTGGGCGCATGATAATTCGTTTCTCTAACCTTTGGCGGTAATTGACAAGTTTAACTGCTTTTTTGCAGATCATGATTTTCTGAAGTATCCTAGGCGATCTCGTAGACGTCGACATAATTTTTATATCGAAATTGTATTATCGGTTAGTGACTATTTTTTGGCGAATCAAATGAAGCGAATTTTTCCGATAGGCTAGCTTGTCACTTGACAACTTAATAGTGGCTAATTCAAAGGCAAGATCTGGTTGGGTTTTGGGCCACGTTTTAGTGCGCCCTTGGAGTTGTTATTGGTACTACTATTCTCGTATATATTTGTTCTGCATGGTCTGTACAGGGCTGTTAGTCGTTCGCCATGGTATCATTAATTAAACATTTGAATAGCATTTAATCTATATGCATGTACATTGATGTGATGGCTATTTTATAGGTACTTGATAGCTACAAATGCCTTGTTTCTACCTCAGCTGAGTGTGTTAGTGTTGTGTTTGTTTAATGACTAAATTTACTTAAGGTGTATATAATTTATGCTCTTATGACAACTCAATCTGTTCAATGAATAAATATATGTGTGGACTCGTTTGTCGTTTCGAATCTATTTCGGGATTTTACACAATGACTTTAGGAATTGTCCTGGTTAGATTAATAATTTGGAACATTGACCCTTTGATGTCCTAGTGCGGCATTTATTTACACATTTGATGTGTTTGTTGTCTTAGGCTGCACGTTGAACCAGTGGTTTTGATTTGACTGTGGGGATGCGTTTGTGTATGTGTTGGGGATGGTATCATTTTACTCTGATTCCATTTATTCAACCTTGGTATTTATTGTATTGATTTTCCAGCAGTAGCTGTTTTACTGGTATGCCCTTGTGTGCCTCATGGGTTGCTACTTTCAATAACTGTTGTAATGTTAAGGTTCATAAGATGGAGGGTGCCAAGGGAACTCTTCTCTCGTCCATTGGGGAGTATGACAGTCATCTTGGCGATAACCAGCGACATCTTCTTGCGGCTTTTCGCTATGGAAATAAGATCGAAAAAGGCGAGGCTTCCTTATTAGCAGAGGGTACAGTCCAATCTGTCAAACGCTTTCGCAACGAAATGGTACAACGTCGCAGTCGTCGAGGCCACTTGGTCGGGGACAGAGGCCTTTCCTCCTCGAAATCGGAGCCGTTGCTCTCTTTAGCCCAGGTTCAAGAAGAAGAGGAGGATACAGAGGAGCATTTCACAATAAATAAGCTTTCTCGCGAAGCGTTTCGCGAGGTATGGCAATTCTTGTTATCTTCAAGTTTGCTTATTTCATGCAAAATTGCCATGGTTCCTGCAACCCATTTTCCTTGTTGTAATTTGCACGGATTAAAACCATCCATCCATTCTCAGTGTTTACAAACCCAGAACATGCGAGATATTGTGTTCGGTTTTGAGTATAAGCAAATATCTAGTGGGTAAAGACCATGGGGTGTCGGAAACCCTTATGAATTTGTCGCATTTATTTATTGCAAAATGATTTGCGCCTACCTCAAAAATGGTCCTTAGTTTTTCGTCGTGTGCATAAACTGCTATCATTCACCCCCGAGGTTTAAGGTTTGCGATTGACTTTATGCCTTTTTGCTCTTCACCGATTTTTCGAAATTTTTGTCACTTCCGTTGGTGACCTAACTTTGTTTTCTGGAGTTATAATATCCACTGATTGACTCCAAAAGCGGCTGACTACCAACCGTATTACACAGGGTGTTTCGGTGAGGCTGTAGTAGGGTCTCTCACGTCGAGGATGTCAATTCCTTTGTAAATTTGCAACTTGGCATCTAACCGTTAGATTTTACCGGTTATCACTCACCGCTGCAATCGCCAATGTATGTGAGAATGGTGTGTAACACCAATTTCAAATGTCCCTTCAGCTTTTCCAGGGTTTTCGGTACTGTGCATATGAATTGCCTCGGCTGCACTCAATGCCCTTAAATGCTAACGTTATCGAATTAACTGTGCGACAGGCGCTGAATAAACTGTTCGCGTCCTTTTTTTTCATTTTTGCTCTGAATAGTGCTGTTCTCGAAGTACTGCTCTGATGTGTCTAAATTGCAGGAATGTTTGCACCATGCACTGTTGGTACCAAACTTGTGTAGTGATCGCTTAGACTGCTGCCGTTAGCACAATCACTCGTTTGTGAACCAACTATCAGGGCACTAGGTTCATATAGCTTATTTTAATCAACAATTGCGTTCACGTAACCAGCTAACGTTTCCACATGATTCTCTACAGAAATGGGGAATTTTATCGTCGTCGTGTTGTTGCAATGCAAAAATAGTGGGCTTTTGGAATAAAGTTCTTACTTCTAGCCCTTCATTTTGTCAAAACAAGCTGTTACTTTGCAGATGGTTTTGTATATTCCTCTAATGGTGGTGTGTAGGCACTGAATTTGTTCGAAGGTCAATTATATTACTGTTTCCTTGCTTTTTTTCTGAATAGGCGGCAATTAAGTCACCAGAACGAATGTGTTACATTGTGAGGGACCATAAATTGGTGTGGCAAAAAACCACTGAACACAATTTTTGCCTGTGAAAATCTAAACCTCGCGATAATCGAGCCAAGCGTGGTAAACACCGGATTTTGTGCATTGCACGCACACATTTCTTCCCCTCGTACTTTCGACACAAGATGCAAAAGCGCCTCGGAACGAGGTGTTCTTTTTTTTAAGTTAAACCAAAAGGTTTTTTGTTGTTTCTTCACGTCGCTTCCACACCGTACACGAACTCTTGTCCCATTTTACTCCTATTCTACAACAGCCAGTTGGTCTTGGTGATTTATTCGCCTGTCTTGTTGGTGTACAAGTGGCTTCTTGACTGAAAATTTCCCTCTCGAAGGTGTGATCTGACTTTAGTCCATTGACGATGACCCCATCTGTGTTGGCCTTAATTAGCACAAGTGATGCGTTTGCTTTTTTGTCCTTTCTCACACCTAAGCGTGCAAAAGTGTTGCCTTGCGTGGGACAAGATTTGTGGATTGGTGGCGCTGGCTTCATTGCTATCACACGTCACATCATTCCCGTTTATGAAACCTGGTGATTCGCTGTATCACCTGCGGTTCGGTTTACTCACCTCCCCTCTTATCACTCTCCTTGGCTCGATCTTGGAGTTAGCTACGAGGCCTACTTAAAAAGTCTTGTTTCATGGCATTTGGGGCTCTTCTTCTTCTATGCCGTAATTTGAGCAAAAGCATGTAAGTAAACTGCCTCCAGCCTCGAAATGGTTTTGGGAACTCCCGAATGCTCTGGTCATGTTGTTTAATAGCAGCCTACCAATGTGATCTGCGTTTCCTTATTAGCTTCCTTGATCATTTAATGTAGGTCATACGTGCGTATGTAGGAGCATTCTTGAGAGATCTTCCCGCCTACTGGAGCTGGCCCTCTATTGTGCATAAATCCCACATTACCTGCAACCATAGCAAACAAACCCTGTATGTCGTTTTAGCCCCATCTCTACGTGCAGTTGATTTAGCTTCCACATTAATTAAACTCGCCCTTTCTACTCTGTCTGTTTTAGCGTTCTAAAGACCTCCTGCTGAGTCCAGAGGACCTCTTGACAAAACGAGGAAAGTCGGCAAGTAAATCAGAACTTGTGGAGGCCCTTAGAACAGCCACAGCGCGGAATGCTCGTCTGTTGGAGCTTCGGCACTCCCAGACGTCTCGGAACGCCCAACTTCAGCAGCAGATAGACAGCATGAGCACGGAACTGGACTCTGTAGTGGACGCTTTGCGCCGCCAGCAGGAAAAGTTTGAAAACGAGAAACGCAAATCCATCCTTGAGGCTCGTGACCTTCGTCAGCAGCTCGCTCAGGCCTTGGCGATGCTCGAGAACGCATCGAATGGCACTCCCAAAAATGGTATGCATCGGCCCACCGTGTCAGCGGAGACTCTCAGCAATGGTGCGTTTTGTCTCTACTTCGGCGAGTTGACTCCGAATCTGGGAAATGACTTCTTGTTCTTGAGGCCATCGACACAATTGATAACAACTAAAATGTCGTTGTAATTGTGTGGCTAGTAGGGTCGATTTTCCATCCGAACGCTTTGTCTCTGCGGACAAAGGCAACTAACGCGGACGTGAGGGAGGGGTTTGTCTGCAAATTTGGATTTCTAAACCCATTTTCTTTAAAAGGAGCTAAGGCCTTTCACTTCTGGAACAAATGCCAGCCATTTCTTGTGGACCGTCGTCCAAAATCAGGGGTAGAAGTTGCATTTTACCTCAACCGTCGTATGCTTACTCTCTGACGCCGGGTAGAATTGCACGGGGAAATTGCCTTGGCTAGTGTTCTGCACTAGGCGCTTTTTATGCTGGCACTGTTGGCCTAATTCCAGTGTCCTCGTTTCCGGCTTAGCCTGAGATCACGCGATTCACTGCGTAAGTGGGTGTATCTGCGCAGTGCCTGTGTTTGCATTTCTGAACGTCGAAAAAAAACCTATTTTCGTACCACATGACCGTCAACTACCCACCTGCCTTGTTTAACCCCACATTCCTGTAAACATTTCCAAGTAACTTGCTTGTGTTGATCTGTAAACTTAACCTATGTGCGCGTGATGTGTAAATGGTTGTTTTGCGGGTTTGTCGTCACGTTGGAAGAAATTCTTTCGTGAGAACAGCTGGTGGTGGTACTGTAGCGGGATTTATTCTCTCCTTTTTGTTAAGACACCTTTATGCTGAAATGTTGTGCAATGATGAAGCACAGTCATGACATCTCGGCCATGGTTTCCACTGCTAGGGCGACAAGTCGGTGGTTTCCACGACTAGGAGTTTCCGTGGACAGAATGTGTCGGCACGGTGATGCAGAAGAGTGGGGATCAGATTCTTCCACTTTTGAATTTGCATGGACGGCTCCACTGTGGTTCAAAGTCCTCTGAAGTGCTCGAGTTAGCTAGCTTTACTCTGGATCAACAGAATACCACTGGAAAAAAAGCGCCAAGTACTCTGATTGGCTGGTTCAATTACTGCCAATCGCACCCACCTAAGTGCAGTTAACTCGTTCTAGCTTTCGACGACTACAACCCTGATCACCGATCACTGCGCTTCCATATCCCTCCATGGTTACTCTTGTTTTAAGCTAAACCCACACCAGCAATGTTTGCACCCCACACCAATTTCTTCGTCTCAAGTCGAATTGCTGCCGACCCATGAACAAAGGCCTTTCCAAGCGTATATGTGTGCGCGGTCTCCATTGAAGGCAACTGAGCTCGTGAGTGTGCTTCCACGATTCAGCTGTCAATTCTACTGGTGGTCAGAGCTAGATCCTCTGATAGAACTGCACCAGCAAGCAGGCCTTCCCTGTTGACGCCCGCAAAAGTCACTGCGAGACTGCGTGGACGTGTTCGTAGAGTGCTTATGCAAACAGTGGCCAATGAAAGCCAAGTGTGAGTCACGGAGACCAATCAGCTTGAGGCGAACCTGTTCACACAGGCCTCTCCTCATGCCCTCCCACCACAGAACGCTCACGGTGATGCATGACCTCGGCTTTATGCTACCTTCACTGGCCGTTACCTTTGATGATTGGTCAAGGCATACACGTGACCTGAGATCGATTACTTGAATACTATTACGCAAATTACACGCTTAATCTATGTAACCAACTAAATTAAAATGATGAGCGAAAACACGTGATGAAGTTGTAAAACGCCGTTTTCCGGGATTGCACACTAGTTCAATTGGAGCTCATCGAGAACCACAACAGTTAAACAAGGGCACAGACAATAATTAAATAGTAAATTTTACCACGAGAGCATGTAACCATGACTGGTGCAAAGAAGACGACAATGCTTCCAAGGAGAGAGGGCAAACAAGCCAAAGATTTAGTGAGTTGCCAGTTAATTAAAGTCAAATCAACGCCACTGTGGGGTTGCATTGTGTACGCAAAACTATGATGACTATACTGAAAACGCCCCCAGACCGTGCCGGTGGTATTTGACGCAATGCACTTTTGGTAAAGTAGTTGACGATTCAATTAGTGTGTACTGATGTTTTTAGGAATGCTGACACTCCAACACCAACCAGCCAATCGAATCACACCGATAATCACACAAAGGCGCCACCCTGTGTTGGAGCATTTGTTTTGATATGCAAAACCTCATGCTTGATCTCCTCTTTAGAATGCCATGATTTGATTGGCTGAATACACAACGGATGGCACTTTTACTGCATCATTGTCGATCCCGGGCGGGGTGGTCGTGCTCGTGGATGTGTTCCACGTGGGTGATGCTATATTTGATTTTTTTTATGCAACCATTTCCTCTAGTTGTCATTCCCACGAGGCGTTGTTGTGTAACTTTCCGACAGTTTTGCCCCTCTATGGTTCGGCCTGTTCGGAAGGAGTTCCACGGATTCGACGCCAGGCGTACGTAAAATTTCTATCGATTGATCGTCATCCACTAATTGCCTAAACACTCCTTAAGAAAAGCGACGTTAAACAATTCAGTTTTCAGGTTGAAGGGTACAAGTCGACAAACACCTGTTCATTGCACCCGTTTTACGTCACTTCTATTCTTTTTTCACACCCGAAAGTGTTTTGGTGTAGTTAACATCGGTGTGTCTATGTAAACGCCGCTTGCAAATTGGTCGCGTGTCGGAGTGAACAAGTAATCTACTCACAAGCCCTTAAATTTTCCAAGCTGTTCCGTGAGTGTGTGTGACAACTCAGTGGTGCACTCATCTAGCTACCACGAGCACATTCGGGCGTGAGTCATACTCTGTGCCGATTCGGATCGCCGATTGGTGGGTTTTCCTTGTTTCGTATTTCCTCTAAGCAAGGAATTCCATGGATTCGAGCTGTAAGGGGCTCTCTCTCTCTCTCAGCCAAGTCCATGTTGTCCTAACTTGAATGCATCTTCGCCATCATCGTGACTTACCTACTTTTGACTTTTTTGTGCAAGTTTTGTCCGTTTTGGAGGCAGTTTTTGTGGTGTCTGCGGAGGACTGCATCCAACACAGTTGACCTACCCAACTCCAATCTGTTCTCACGCAATGAGGCACGCATTAATTTGCTTTTTATGCGCTCGTTGCGCACTTGTTGATTTTTTTTTTCGCTTGGCAATAATCCAGAGTGCATTATTCCCACGCGAGCATCGCAGCGAAATTTTGTCCGCTTGGCACCGCTTTCGGTCGCCGTCTTGCCTGCAATTTGTAATTTCCAGGAGAACCGATTGTTTGACTCGTGGGTGATGGAGTAATCTGTTTACGATTTTGAACATGTTGTTGTGCCTGTGAATCAATAAAGATCGTTCCTGCAGCCTGTGTGTGCCATCAGAGACAACGTGCTTGTCAATTTGCTGTTAGCACTTCAGATTAACGTAGTATTGCGCCTCGAAGGTATGTGTCAGGCTTAACATTCTTACTTTAAGACGACATAAAACGCCGCTTCCAACTAGACGCGTGGTTGTGTCGGTTGGTGTCAGTCGATGCGAGTCGCGTGTTCGCCGGATGCGTGCAACAGGGCTGAATGTCATGCGCCACTTAAATGACTGACACGCTTGTTAAAACAAACGGCTAACTGCTGCGCTGGTGTAATTGTAAACGTTCCACGACGCTGGCACATGTTAGCAGCGGCTATTGTGTGTTTGTGTCAATTACGTAAACAAGACGAAATCTCATGACTGCTTGTACTTGAAAAATTGCAAACAATTTCCTCATTTCCACACTTTCTCTTAACGAACCCACGCTACTGAGAACAGGGCTGTATAGGTAGCTGGGTGAATATTTCAGGTGCGGCAGTCCATACAAAATTTTTAGCTCCCATATGAGGCAAAACCACTGCTACACGCTTCTCAAGGTCATTCGTCACGAGGCAACAAGTGGGATGTTTTTTAGGTCGCGCTAACGCCTTAACTTAGCATACGCACACGCACAGAAAATTCCAATTTGAAACTAAATCGTTCCCCAGGTCTTTATTATGGGGTGCCTTGGACCAAGCGCTTGTCCAAATGCGTTCATTTCGGTGCGGTCTGGAAAGCGAATGGTCCTCCAAATAGGCAGATCTCTTTTGAATGCCAAGCGCTCAACTGCGCCCATAATGGAATCGCCGTCATTAATTGGCGAATTGAGATTGCGCAAACGCCTGTAGTCTCTTGTATGGCTTAAAATAAACTAGTTTTTTTGTTTACCACAGGAAATGAAAACAAATTGAATACAATACTTTTGTGGTTATTGTGTATTTGGTGCTTGCTTACTCCTGCGTAAATCGAAACACCGTAAGCAAAGTGTACAGCGTCCGTTTGGAAAGGCACAATGCCATCACTGCAAAGCAGTGTTCTTGCTTATCGTAGTTGGGAACATCACTGTTTCGCAAAAACGCACCTTGTCACTAGGCGCTTGTAGACACTGCTTTGCAATCTAGGGTAGTCGCACCACTTTAGGCATCTGTTGTCAACATCCAAAGGTTTTGTTGCGTCAGTTCCAAGCCCATTGTCCTGTAGGTAGCGGTTTTTGCCAGAACTGCGACCAGACCTCACTTGAGGCCTCGACACTGCGCATAACCGTGGAGAAGCTGGAGGCCGACCTGGCACGACACAGCCGCACCGCCGAACGCGACATCGGTCTTCTCCGCGTCCAGCTGGCCGACGCCACGGCGGAGAACCGGTCTTTGCGTCTGCAACTCTCGCGGCTCTCGCGAAGCTTCTCCATTGAAGAGGGCAAAGTGATGCAACCACCCTCGGTCTCCTGTTCCAGCTGCCAGCGTCTTCAGCTGCTTGTTGACGTTCTTCAAGCCAAACAGACCAACTCCGCCGGCAAGGAACAACAAGCAGCCAGTCAGCCCGACGTCGTCACCGGGTGCACTGCGCCAAATCAGACGCAACACCAACAGCCTCCACCGTTCGGCAGCAGACTAGACGCTGAGGTTCAAACTGAGAAGAAAGTCGAGTTTGACGCAGGTAGGCCAAAGGCCGTAGATGTTTGCAGGCCTTATTCTTTTGGTGCTTCGTGCCTTGATAGGAAGCGGTAATTTTCGCCACTTACTATCTATAAGTCCTCTTCTGCACACCAGGCGCCAGAATCTCGAATTACGTGCATACCTTAATTTAATCAACCGGAAATAAAACGGAGTGTTTGTTCTGTTTCTGAGATCTCTCGTGTTAAGACACATGTCTCCTCTGCCCCCCGCAAAATGTAGCGTGTTAAAAGGGATAAATAAGTCGAGTGTATTGGCCACGTGGTGAAGAAATGTTGACTGATCTTAGAAACCCTAACTGTTAACTCGTAGGTTGTGGATGTGGACGTCATGACAGCTGTTAGTACCACCCAATAATCACACTTGGTGGGTTTTCCGCCGTAGTTTCTACTTGAAATGCACCTCCTGGACATACTTTAAAACGACGGTGACTGTGATGACACTCATGAATCATCTTATAATCCGTTCTGATTTGACCCACAAGCCTCTTCTCCGCTGCCGCTAAATGAACCTGGTGAAGACAGCAGTCTCTTCAACATTCTTGAATCTGGTGCCTCCGCTGTGTTCAATGTCCCTCGAATCAACGACCTGGCGACAGAATTCCTTGAGCAGCGGCTTGGTGTTCCGCTCGAGCAACCAGCTGCCCCTGCTGCGCCACAATCTCAGTCTCCCAAGGCACCTCCACCGACTGTCAAAAAAACGCCGGAAGCACCCTCTGTGACCCCGGTTGTGGACATCCCACGACTGTTAGAACGCCTACGCGTTCTCGAAGACGAGGTGGAGTCCTCGGCGGATCAGTTGAAGGCCAGCAACGATGAGTTTCTGCAGTTAAGGGAGCGTTTAACCACAGCTACCGTGGAGAAGGCACACCTCAAAGCCACCTTGGATGGCTTGGATGATCAGGTAAAGGTAGTGAGGGTTTATACTGCTGCTGCTGGTTGTGGTGGTTCTTGTACTTGCCACCAAAATGCCTCTCTGGCTCCAAAATTTGTTCCGGCAGTTTTGTGTAAGTTTAGGAGTGCAGTGATGTGACGAATTGAGCCCTTCGTGTATACTCTATGCGATGCCGGTCTGTCCTCGGTGTAGGCACATCTTGTTTAATAGAGTCCACAAGAGGAGGAATCTGTCGTAACGTGCCTGGCTTGCACATACATCACACGGTAACGCCTAACACAACTAGCAAATCAGCACACAAAATCACAGCCGTTGTGATTAACCGCGTTGTTTACTTGAGTGGCTTTTCAGTTGAGGCAAGCTGATCACCCCAATTGGACCATTATCATAACTATCCCTGAGTGAATTTGCCTCCGGTTGATTTTTTGCGTTGTTAAACAACACGTTGACTGTGCCGGAAACACGATACTCATGCCGCTTTACAAGTTATGCTTGCTACAGCGGGTATCAACAGCGCACAATGCCCCTGCAATGTTTGGTTATTTCAAATTTTTTTGAACAGCCCAGCACTGCTCCATTAAGCGCTCCAATCACCTTGTTTCCACACTTAGGTCATTCAGTTAGAAGCGGCTCTATATGAAAGAACACAGGAGTTACGTAAATGCCAGGCGGAGTTGTTGAAGTACTTGGCCAGTCAGACACCGGAAGTCTGCGTTATCAACCTAGAAGGGTGAGTTCTCTTCCGTTGACCCGCATGTCTTCCCCACGACTGCCTCAAACTCGCTCCATTTTCATCTAGTGGTTTAGGGGAAATCGGGAAGTCCGGTAGTTTTGCTCCTGTCAGTGACGTGTCGAAATCATCCCTCCCAAATTTGCCTGCCAGGATCACGAGTTCACCTCGAACGCTACATCGCCTCTATACGGTAGCTTACTTTGACAAGTACCATTGGCTGCGAAGGGCTCAAGTCAAGCTTGCTGCAGGATACGAAACCTTGCTCCCCTATGCAATCAGCGCACAAAACTGCCTTAAAACTGCCACATCTGCATTCCGTAAGTGGCTATTGACGCAAGCACCTCTCTCCAATCAAATAACTAATGGGGATTTTGTTTGGTTTAGTTGAAAAGGCAACGACCAATCACAAACGAATCTGGCGACCTTGTAAAATCGTTGGTGCACGCGCCCTCCAAGTCAGCGGTCGATTGGTCGGTGGCCGGGGGCCCCGCCTAGTGATTTTCCTCGGAATGCTTATCTACTTTTCTTTCCTTCATTTACTGCTCATCAACTGCCTCCTGCAGTAGGCGTTGGGGACACGCAAATCCACAGTCTTTCAATTGTACAAAGTCATTCCTGTAAACGTTGAGTAAATTTATTTTCGATTTAATTGGCATAAAATATGTGTATAAATAGTTTGAAAAATCAGTCGGGCTTTCCATTGCACAGGCGCATGGGAGAGAAGAGAGTCATGTTGTCGGGGTCGATCCATGAGTAGCCTCTACAGCCGGCGTCACTGCAGCAGGGACAGTTTTTGAAAGGCTAAAATGGAATTCATTGAAGTGTTGCAAATAATTGGTTACTCCAGTAGTATTGCTCATTTGTTACGACCACGTTGATGTGCCTTAACATGGACCATTTTGGCAACACCGTTGCCTGATTTATTCGGCTATATCTAATCGGTTGCCAGTAAAAAACCTGTTGATTTCTTGTCACGAACATTTGATTGCTATTCGCACCGAATTTGTGTATTAAAAATGGGATTCGGGAAACTGGTGTTAATAAAGGCTGTGGATTTGTATGAAACGAGGTATCGGACCGCAAATGCTTGTTTGCTTTTGCAAGTGTCCAAAATAGTAAACCGACCTGGGATGAGTTCGCAATCTTTTCACGGATCATGGCCACGAAGCTGTCATTTTGCCAACCTAAAACACTAAAATAAGAGAATGAGGAAACTGAAATGTCCACTCACCAGCAACACTTTGCAATGGGTTGTGACACTAGACCACCAATGCCGACCTAAACATAGCTACAAAGTTAGTACGTATTTTTAACGTTTCCATCCCTGTGTAATTAAACAAGAGAGCACCGACACGCATAATTTCGATATTCTGAACGTGCTGAAATACTTAAGATCCAGAGAATCTACCTCAACGGATGCAGAGGACCCGGAAGCTACCAAATGTAGCTAGCTATTTAGGTTTAAAGACTAATGGCTGTTACGGGTTTACCTCCACTGTCCACAAGAGACGTAAGAAAATGCTGAACCGCAATAAATGCACTAAGGCTGACATGTTTCAGTGTGAACGTACCAGTAAAAAATGTATAGAAAGTTGTTAAAAGTTGACACAAACCTGAGGGGACTCGAAGAAGATGATGACTCCAATGAACTTGAATCCGTTGAGGACCAGAGAGAATGGTTTTCAACGTAAGACCTCGCACGATTCTCGAATACGTCCGGTTGGGTAACAAGACTGTTGATAACAAAAAATGCGAAATTAAGTAAGGCAAGCAAAATGTCTTTAAAAATTCCTCTACAAATCAAATACGTACGTGCAGGCGGCTTCGGGATTTGCAAACTTGGACCAATCAGGCCAATGACTGGTGCTCGAATCAGCTGGTGGACTAAGGTCTACAGCGGGATCACTTAGAATGCATCGAAGATAATAGAGAAGGTGGTAAATTCGGGAAACACCAGGGATCCACTTCTCGAACTCACTACTTGAGTCCACTTCTCCCGTGGTAGGGTTAACACATGGATGGTAAAAGCCACAAGGCAAAAAAATTTTCTAGATGCTCATGAAACATTATTACGTAATTCATACAGGAGATCGAGAACACGGAAAATCTTCTGGTATTTGTAAATTGAAGGAGAATACTCCACCGGCATATTGACCCTTCCTAACAGATATTATCCCATACCAAACTAAAATTTAAACGACGAAGTAGAGTCACTTACCATCTGGTTGATTTAGTGATGGTAGTACATAAACGCCAGGCGGGTGATATGTCATAATCAAATTACTAAATTATTTGTATATATTACTGGAACAATGTGCCTACTATTCCGACATGATAGCATATTGATGTACAAGCTCAAAAGGGATGTTAGAGGTTTGCATTGAGTCAGATTCCATGACAAAATATAGCACAATTATAATAATATGAAAATTAGAAAATACACAAATAAGAAATATCTATGGGAGTTAAGTGAGGAAAAGAACATGTGGGCTGATATCACCATAAAAGCAGTTCACCAATTGGTCAAATTAAAAAGCACAGATACACTTGCAATCTCCTTTAAAATTGACTTTAACATGCGAAAAAAGTCGAACCTTATGCCCTCTAGTGCTTGGTACTGGTGTAGTATTGTGATTTACAATGTTTACTAATCAACATCAACTCTCTGACCCGCTAAAACTAAAAACATTTGAATATTTTTTAATTTGCCTTGAAAAATTTTTGTAATTTAAAACATGTGGGAGTATCCTTGATATTTTATTAATCCTGAAATGGTTAGCAATTTTTTATCGCTGCAACCTCAAATAAGTATTTGCGTTTGTGAACTACCTCGTGGCATCTAAAGTAGCGCAGCACTGGTTTTTCACCCTTAACAATTAAAGTAGTACCTACGGTTCTGTGTTGTTACTTATGAATGGGCCGAAAACAAAAACTTTTCTAATTAAAGAAATTTAAACTTATTTATAAAGTTTTTGTAATCTCTTCAGTGGCAATTACATTGATGATACTGCTCGATATCCATAAATGATTAACCAACCACAGGGTAACCTCGATTTTTATGCCGCCCTGAAAAGTCCCCATAAGTTAGACGAATCGCTGCACGGAGTGTGCTTGACTGTGAATAGTTCGGTTGGTCTTTCGTCGCGTGGTTTCACCGCAATCGTTCTTTTGCAATGGCAATGGACAAAGAAATGACAGATTATTTGAACCAAGTGGGTAACAGTTATGTCGTAAAATTTAAATAACTATTCATCTTATTCTCATTTTGCATTTAAGTGGTTTCTCAAATGGATACAGCAAGGTTTTGTATCTGATTTTCTTGCAAAACATTTCTTGTGCACACTGCCAAAATAAACTCAATCGACCATTGCTTATTTCTTTTCTGTACTTTGGCAGTTGTTAGGTTTTTCGTGGAGAGTGATCGATGCGGTCAAACTGTGCTGGCATACAGTGGTGAAGTCTCGTTCTCTTTTCAAGGCGCTGATGATGTTACAAGGCTGGGATTGATATCAATTAATGAGGTGTAGTTATGTGCCTTAGACAAACATGGGAATAGCTCTGCTCTTCTTAGCCTTCTTATAGGGATTCGCAGTGCAAACGCCCAATTTTTGGTGAATATACCTGAAGCACAGCCCTACTTAAATTTTCTATCACCTTTTTCTTTGTCCGTTACCCTTTACCTTCTTCTGTTAGTTTCTCCGACTTTCCTTCATTTTAACTAGCGCATTTTTCGCTCATCGTTGTCTTTAGTACATTTTGCGTTAGCGGTCTGCTATTGCTTCCACGATGCGATGCTTTCCATATCCACGGAACACTCGGTTTGCTATCACGTCGTTTCATGCAGCTCTACGTTATTTAATTATCATCTAATACTGTTAGTAAACATCTACTGCGTCAAACAGCACTTATTATTGCCTAGGGACCTTCATAGCGATCAACAATTTCCCATTTTCACAAGTATCTTGATCTCGATGACCTCTTTAACGTACCACGTCAACCTTGTATAGTGATTACGCATTTTCGAAAAGAAATGTCACGTGAGTTTGGTTTTGGTTCCTTGTAACTTGCAACCGTGCAGATAAGCGCAAATTTTCAGCTTGGAATAGACCCAAGTTCCTACCGAAGTCTTCATACTCAATCTTCCTGAACTTGCTACCTAAATGTCCACACGTGTCGAGACAAAAGTTGCACAAATGCCGGGTCTCCTGCTTTCTCCCGGCGCACATTTTTCGCTGCGTCACGTAAATCCTACTTTATCGTACTGGCATTTATCGTTATCGTCTACAGTGATCCCTCCCCTTTAACTTTCATATCCTTCTACACAATTATTCCCGTGAACTTTTAATATTTAAAACATTGGCCTTGTTGAACAACGAACAGTTGAATCTACGAAATTTAGCATTCTTTTCTGTGTACCTCCCGTTGAATCCCGCTTCGTAAAGTGACTTAATAACTAAAAATTCGAGGAATAGCCATTAGTTGCAACAAGCCTAGATGGTCAACATTGGCTACCTTGATGTTTTTCCCTCAAGTTCAAACGTATCTAAGGGTTATCGTAAGTTAACGCGTTATTGCTGGCATGGCTAGTGTCAGTTCTAAAGGTTTGTTGCGAAACACCTGTGCTATTTGGCTGCTGTTATTTGCAGTTGCGGGGCCTTTTTCCTTGTCGCCAAGACCGGCACGTCTTCTGTTCGGGTCATACAAGTTAGAGACTCTCCACCCTGCCCTAATCTTCCAAAACTTATTTTCTCGTTAAAGATGCAAATCAAAGAGACCTCCGATCTCTACGTCCAGTGCAGCACTGTGTGCTTCGACCGCTGTGTGATGAACTTCACCGCCAGAAAGCTCAATGATAAGGAGGTGGGTGCGTTTATCTTAATTACGCTTTTTTGGAACCACCTCCACACACCTGCCTTCATAATATCGCAAAGTGACCAAAATCACGTTGATTTTGTGAGTTTCATGTTATCTCCAATATCAATCCAAGGCGCAGTCGACAGTTGTTTTCACGCCGTTTGACACTTCGCACGAATTTTTACGGAAAATTATCATGTTGAAAGGCGACCGGTACAATATGCATTTCCACCAACCGATTTCGTCCATTCTCATTTAAGCTGGACTGCATCGAAAAGTGCACGCAGAAGTTTGCGAAGATGAACCAACGCCTGACGATTCGACTGTTTGAGCTAAATCGCGACGAACTCTCGAAGCAACAGCAGCAGCAGCAACCACAAAAGTAGGAGGGATACCCTCACCGCTATGTTCGTAGAACCTGTCTCTAGGTGTGCGTCCAACGCTGGCAGCAGGTCTTGTGGGACATGCTTAGTCCTCTCCCCACGCCACCTATCCGTTTCTTGTACAGTTTAGTCCCGTAACAGTGTCCTTCACTTGAAAATAGACTTCTTTTTGTACTTAGGTGAGCATGTAAAAAGCGTTTCCTTACTTGCAGCCCTTCATTTTATGGACGTAGTTGCATTAGATTCAAGACACCAATGCTCTCTACCTTAGTCGTTGCACTCATTTTGTGGGGTGGACAGTCTAAGCTAACTCTAGCCCTCGGGTAATGGGCTCACTGTAACCGTGTAGCACTTTTTTCGATTACCCGTGAAGTCCTGTGGTCTGGTGGTTTTTTTATTATTTTCATCACTGCTCTGTTCTTCTTCGTAATGTTGGGATTCAAGGGAAGTTATTTGGTTAAGTCAACATCGTCGTATTAGAGACTTGACCACTGCGCCCATCATATATTTCGGTCGAAAGTAAAATGTCAGCGTAGTTTTATATTTGAGCGAACGACCACCTCCTTCCTGCCGCAGCCGGTTTCTTTCGGCACGTTGATCGCACGTTTTCTTTCCCTAAAATTACACAAAAAATACGCATATCTTTGAATCTCAATCTCAAACAGGTAGTTCAGCCATTGCAAATCAGTTGGGATGCCTGTTTGCGAGAAATTACAGAAGCCACGACCACCTTGTGTGCTATCCTCTGTGTCAAAGAGGGTTGTGATCTATGTCACATCGTGTTGCTCTGTGGATTTTCACTATGACCTGGGAACGAGTAACTGTCTGTCTGGGTAATACAAGGTGCTTAAAACAGTGATAAGGCGTTGGAGAAACTTACACATGTAGTCTGTGTTTGGCTGGGTCAAATTGTCTCTCGGAAGCCTTTGCGATGCCACTGTAACGCAAAGTCGGTTTCTCTTCGAATTTGTAGGGATCATAACGCCCTGGCCCCGTAAATGGAGTCTGAAATGCATTTGAGAGAAGCACTCGGGACACACAGTTAACGTAACTTAACGCCCGCAAGGCTACTCAGCGTGTCTTATATGTGGTTCTGCAGTTAATAATCTTTCCGATCATGCCTATTGACCCACCATGTCCACTAAAAAATAAGTTACCAACTGTGTCATGCTGGTTTATTGCTTTTCCATCTGTCGCCCGAAATTCATCTTATCCAGAGCCCCACTCTTCGCAGTGCTCCCATCCTACATCTCTCAGATTCAATGCCTTGCCCAGACCAGTTAACTTAGTTCCTTGTTCTCATCAATCCTAACATAGTGAGCATTTGCATGGCTAGGCGATTTGACTGTTGGTGGTAATTGTCAATTTCATGAAGTAACAACTTACTTGTATGCCAATCGAATTGTTGTACCGTTTCTGTGTCATTTTGGCAGTGATGTGAGAGCCGAACGGGGCTTTGATGGGTTTCAGTTTGCACGATTTCGCTTGTGGCAAGTCCGTGTTGTATTTGCCCCAGGCGGCGTTTACCTTTCGGAGACAATTTTTAGGGGAACAAAATTAACACGATCTCGAGCTGCCTGAAATTTGCATATTATCGACGTGATGATTTTGAGCACGGCAAATTTGTGAGATTGTCGAACAATGCCTGCTCAAGTCGGACAGGTCTCACAAACCTCAGTTTCCATAGCTGTCTGTGTAAGTTGAGGTCCTATTCTTAGAGGAGGGGGGGAACGTAGAGAATGAAGTTTAAAAATAACGCAAAAAACGTGATTTGGACCACTCAAGAAGCAGGAGGGGTCTTGGGGGGATTATAAGTGTTAGCGTTACATCACACCAATTAGATACGTCTAAATTTTTGGGTGAATATGCATCAGCCTGTTTGAGAAGGCTCTTATTCAGGTGTCTAGTTTGCCCGAAGGTTACTTATATTGTAAATAAAATCTCGCGAGATGCTTTGTGGTCTTAATTAGGAAGTTTTGCCGCGAATACAATGGACCTTGGATTCTACTCATGGCTGGCTTACTCCGATTAGATTTGTACAAGGTCCCTATTGTTGCAGACTTTTGTGAAGAGATTTTAAACCAAGAAAACTTCCTGAATTCATCATGAAGCCGTCGGTTCAAAAATGTGTTGCTCTCTTGCTTAAGGTAAAGCTTAAGGTATAAGATTATTGCAAACATCATCATCATGTGCATCATTCAGCGATCGCACATCACAACACGCACAGAACTCGAGAACAAAGGAGAGTATCAACGCTGGGTATTACGTGTTTGTTTGTTCACGTGAGAATGTGTCCCCATAATATATACATGTAACAGGAGGGTTAGCTATGTTGATGACCAATAAACGGTCAGTCTACTCTATTGATTTCAATCATTTTCAGGCAAACCTCTTAGCACAAACATCAACTGATAAGCCGTTGCTGAATATTTATTGCGATCTCCTCCAGGGACCATTAAACCGATGTCACAAGCTAAAAAAACTCTGTTTAAAATTTGGATTTAACTTTTTAGCGTTTTTGCGGTACTATAGAGGCCAGGATATGACTGAAACCTTACCCACCTCCTTGTCAATATTGTATCCCGGAGCACTGAGGCAGCACCTTTCGCCGTATACTTTGGGGAACCGCACTGACTTGAGAAACCTGCCTTTCTTACGATTCGCGGCAAAAGTTAGAAGATCAATTAATGTTGGCACGTCAATACTCCCAGGAGGAGGGTTGTTGGCGTTCTATCAAAATACGAAATTGTGCAATGCTTATTATATTCATTTAGTACATAAGCATTGTCTGCATAAAGCTTACATCACGGACGTAATAGCCATGTTTAGGGGGAGCGAATCGCGGCTCGGTGAAAGCGTCAAAGGAAAACGTGCGTTTTGCAAGACTTTCAAGTTCCTGATCAATTGGCGCCATGATTCTGTAGCTGCCTGGCCCAACTCCATCCTGGGATCACAGTTGAAAGAATGAGACAAGAGTAGATTAAAAATGGGTCTCAATCGATATTACTTACCTTAGTTGACATAGATCGATTAACAACAGGAGCTCTTGTCCATGGTTCTAGGTCATTTAGCTTCCTCTTATCTGGCTCCTTATATGGGTCATATGTACACGGCGGAGGGACGTTTCCCCGTTGCTTAAAATATGCATCTCAAATTAAAGGTGCTTGTTGTTTACTAGAACAAAACTTACGATTTGCAAGGCTACATAAATGGTTGCATTGGGGTGGAACGTACCCTGGTGCACCTGATCTTTGTTTCTGGGAATCGTGGAGCCCGCGATCCGAACGGGGCACCACATGGTGGCACCCATGGGCACTTTGTGGGAATCACAGGAGGCTCCAGCTCAGCTACCTGCTTATTGTCCGCACTGATTGTTTTTTTGGCGTGTAAACGCTCCCTGAAGGTTGGAACTTCAACCGGTGGCATTGACGCACTCCAGTCCTGGCGCAACTGATCTTGCCTCGAGCTATACAGGATGTAGGGCATTTTCGACCGGCACTGGGAGTTTGCGCCAAGGCATACTATGGATTGTGGATTGTATATGAATTCTGAAGTTGGTCCCTTGTATATCAAAAGAGCAGTAATGTGATCCAAGTATTGAAAACTAGTTTCAATTCAAATGAACTAATGAATGCTTATTTTCACAGTTCTTTTAAATGGTTAAAATTGTTAATAACTGGTGGGCATGTCCACGATTATTTTATGTATTTAACATAAAATAGATTTAGACAAGATAAAATAAGGTAAAACCAACTATTAAAAACTTCAGAAACTTTACGGAGGCCTTTAAAAGTTTTATGAATCATGACTGTACAAATTCAAGACATATTTCAGGGTAATTCTTTAACAGAACCAGAAGTATATAAATTAAAAATTATGATTTTCAAAAATCTGTTGACCTTTTTTCTTGGAATAGCTTAAAGCAGACATCAGCCTGAGTAAAACGAGTGTAAGTTTAGCATCCACAAATTAAAAAAATGATTTAGAACTTTCAGGTGACAAGTTTTGCATGTAACCACAACTGCAATATTTGTCAAAGACTTACACCCCGTAGTGTCTCCGCATGTTGAGGCCCTGTAAAATCGGGGTGCAAACCACATGGACCGAACCTATGTTAACTCGAAGTTGTATTCCAAACCAAACCTTGGCGCTTTTGCAAAAGTGTGGCTTTTAGCTGGTAAATTTTTGTCTAAACCTTTTGACTCCTCTGCTTTTTTGCATAAGCGCAATAATCCCTTCATTTTTTGAAAATTGAGCTTAGACACAAGAGACTTTTAAGGTCATCACATTGTCATTGACAGGACTAAACAACTCTTTGGTTATAGTAATTTAATTTTACGTTCAACTAACATATTAGCTATTAATGGCCAAATGTTTTACAAAGGAATATTAAAGTTGGCGAAGGGTTGTTTTAGGGAGTCGCAGTGGCAATTTAAAATCACAAGTAATTCTAAAGATTAAATGTAACCGACAATATATTTTTTGAATGCAGGAACTGCTTGATGATACTTTGTTTTATAGAGGCAAATGCAGCAAACTAAATTAGTTTTTTGGCATTCCTATCAATTTTCGTATTCACCTCTTTGTAGAACCTTGATGGTTATACCATCTAATTTGCTGGAAAATCGTTGGCTAGGCATAGTTTATTGCAAATAATTGTTTTAATAGACATTCTGTATGGTTTCACTGCCTCACTTTTTTGTCGACTGTAAATCTACTGAGCACACTAGAGGAAATTGCTTCAGTGGCCGTGCAGTACACAAAATAATTGTATGAAAATTTTTCTTTTATTGACACTGTAGACTTGCTGTCACGCAACATTATAGCTAGCTTATTCTGTGTATGACTAGCCCAACAGTCTAGTTTGCTCCATTTTCAAAATTGCTGATATTGATTTCGAGTCATTATATTGGAATCGATTATTACAAAATTCTTTGAAGTCTTTTTAATTAAATTCCTTGATCTGCAATCTTAAATAGTAACGATTTCTCCCCTTTTCTAGAACGGATGCAATTTAGTTGTCATTGATTTGAAATTTAGACTAAAAGAATATAATTTATTTTAAGTTTATATCCTATAAATATATTTTAACAACGCCGAATTCATTATGCAAATATTTCTTTCTCGCCTCCGAGGCAGTTCATTGTCATCTTATTCATTTTTCTCCTATTTGGCCTTGGCCGATTTTAAAACCGGTATTAACATCCGTAAAATAAATGAAATTCTCAACCAAGTCATTTAATCTGCCATGCACGAAGTCATTGATAGGATTCGCCAAAAGCTTGCTAGTTACATTGTCTGGTTTTTGAATGGGTCAAAGTACTCAAGTCTGAATCTATACATTTGTTATAAACTTTCTAAATTGACTTCAGTAAGTCGAATGACTGTGTTCTTGATGCTTTCTATGACTTCAGTGCCCCGAAAATGGAATGAGACGCTGAAGAGAATGTGATGAAGTTTTATCTTAACTTATGTATATTTGGTGCAATAACGTTGTTGTTATCTACGATTTCTCCTTCCGTTACCCTGTAATTTGGTCTTCCACTTAATTCTTTAGCTATAACTGTGAATTTAAATTTGCGAAATTTGAGGAATGATAGTTTCGAATTATTTCCTCCATCGGAAATCGGCTATGCAAAATCTTCTTACACAGATGACCAATTTAGTCATTTTCATATTATAAAACGTCAGCGTAACATAGTCGTGCAAAAATCAAAAGTATTCCTGAACTGGCAATGAGGACTTTTGATATCCTGCACCTGAAAAACGTTATACCACAAATAGTCAGTGGGATGAATTTACCATACATCTTATTAGGGCACATACTGATGATACATTGTGAAAAAAATAGGTATGCAAAGCCGAGCTATTTTGCGTCAAGGATCTTGAAGTTTTGTTAAATTTGGTAGATGTCACATTTGAAGTGACTTTCCTGCATTTTTGTTGACAGTTATTGACCTAAAATTTGAATGAAGGGCGGAACGATCACTTCTGACAGAATTTTAGCTTTCATCTTCGTAAATTGAAGAAAGCTGGTAAAACCCACGATGAGATGGTCAACGATTTCGAAGACTTGTTTAGACGCTTCCATTTTGATCAGTATTTACTCTAATTCAACCACCTTTCTGGCCAACTTCTGAAAGCTTGTGTCTAAGCAACCAATGAAATTTGATGATAATGCGATTGAGGAAAGTATTTAACAAGCAACGAATCGCAAATCAATGTAGCTTCGAAAAAAGCAAAGCGAGACTGCGCACATGCTCGTTCACACTAGTTGGAGTTAGATTGATTGAGAGGTCATGTGACCCATTTCGCCTGCATCTAGAGTGCAATGCAGTTGTGTGACCATCTATAACGTAATTTCCAAAAATCTCTTGAATGCTGGAAATCCAACCAGTGAGGATGCTGATGGCTTCAGTGGGCGAGTGGTCGCACTGCTACAAAAAAGAGTAAATTTTCATCATCGAAAAGGAAAAATGCATGACCCCTTGTAAGCCCAAGTTCTTTTTCACTTCTTGCCAAATCAGTAAAATTGACTCGTTGCTCCATGAGTTTGTTTCGTGCTGCTATGGCGGAAACCACAGCAGTTCAAAACGTGAGCTGAAACATGTGTTCTAAAATGCGTTTTCAATGCTCAATTTTTGATGACATGGACTAAGACTGCGATCAGCTCAAATTCAAAAAAATTGTTGTATTTCTTCAAATGCCCAGCCACGTTTTAGCAATTTAGAAAAAAATTGCCGTTTTTGCACGATTACAGCGGATGGTCAATTCGCGAGAGCCATAATCCACCCCACTTGATCCATTTTACCTGTTCCAATCGATGCAGTGCCTCAAACTTAAGTGACTCTTGTTTTAGTCAATTCGAAAAGTTGCAGTTAATGAAACAGGATAAGAAAGTGTAGCTAGCCGCCTGCGAATGAATTCTAGCCCCCTTTGTGTCTGTGCGCACGAAAGTGGTGCTGAGTATTGGAAAATGTTTCCATCCTACTTATATAAATATGAGTAGGTGTATGCAGCAACAAGTAGCATCATCAGGCGTAAGTTTAATTTAACCGAGTAGAAACGACAATCACTTTGCAGACCACGTCAGAGACACTTAGAAAGCATTACCGTGGCAAACTTTAAGTCGAGAGTGCCTGAGATCTCATGTGAGGTTTTCGTGTTGCCCCCGCTACAGCCCTCGCGGTGCCCGCGTCTCGGGAGTCATAAACTGGCGCTAAGGGGGGTTAAGTGAATGCGTCATTCCCCCCGAAAATATGCCAACAGGCATTACTGATGCCTTCTGACTTTTAAGGTTAACATTCTCCGTTCCTCCTAACACTTCCCTCTCTGAACCTTTGGTACTACTCCGGTCATTAAAATAGGACGGAAGGGGAACATGTCGGGTTAATAAATAGTTTTGATTCACGAAAATGTAACAGTTTTCAGAATTAAGCCTAACAAATACCTTGGGAAACAAGTCTACAAATGCACTAGAATCAGGAGAATCAATGTTTTGGATCGATATTTTCTACGAAACACCGATGTTCTCAATAAAAGATAAACTATGACTTTCAAAAACGCGCAGGTGATATCCTAAGCAGTAAAACAAATGTCAACATTTCGTGTGAAACAATCAAACTCAGGGTGAACTTTTACTGCAGGATGAAGTGGAGGAGAGATTGAGTGTTGCTTGTATGTTATTCTTACTCAAAGTGACACTAATTAAATATAAAAATTAGACTTGAAATATATCGCGCATTTTGCGGAAAAGAAATCCTAATTGGATTCCAACGACTAATCAGCAAATACGTTAATTTTGCATTGGTTTGCTACGAGCTGGTCTTCCTCCCGCCTCAAGACACGTCATCAGTGCTCAGTCACGTGTTCCCCCTACAAGTGCTGCAGAACTCCACGATTTCTCTTCAAATTATCGATCTTGGTGCCTGGCCTAGGCCCCTCGATTTGCTGAGTGCACGCACCTCCACTCAGATCAAACCAATTTCCCCGTGATAGATGACGGTTATGTGATTGCACACTCCCTGATTATGTTTTCAGCAGGCTGGCCGGCATTCATCGGAATGCATTGGTGGATCTGCTCACAGTCCGTCTTCAGTGATCGAGATCAGATTCGCTGCGTCTCGCTTGAGCTAGTGGATGTGCCTAACATCAGCGTTCTAAAATACTCATGGATTATCAACGGGTAAGCCCTTGGTCCAATAATTGAGTACAGGTGACTCTCCACTTAAACACCGGCCACGATTGTACTCCCGGTGTCCTGCACACCTGAATCTGTCGACCTCCATAGGGTTTTCTGGTGATCCATTCAGATTTCCCTCTTCTAGCGACAGCATCACCATTAAGGAGGGTCACTGAGCTCCGAATGAAGCCATAGTCGTCTTCCGTGCACATTCTGTTTATTAACGTCACTCGCCAATTCTTCTTGCGTAAATGCCTTCCTTCCACTGAGATTTCGTCTTGGTGGAGGTGGAATCAAGACGCAA